CAAGTGTTTTTAAACCAAATATTTTATAAATGTTTTAAAATTTTCTTACAAGTATTTAACTTGTTTCTTTTATATTTTCATACAATTGTTTTTTATAACTTTCATACATTTATTTCTAAACTTTCTTTTACAACATTTTTAAAGTGTTTCATAGATTTTATATGATAGTTTAATATTTTTTTATAACATTTAAAAATACTTTCGTTAAATACTAGTTTAAAACGTTGTATTAAAAAAAATTAAAAGTTTATAAACTTCTAATTAAAAAGTATGAAAAAGTTGGAATAATTTTAAAACATTTACATTATATAGATTTTTTTTTGTTTTTTTATTTGCTAAGTAATATTTTCTTTTTATTTTTTTAAAAGACTCTCCATACTTATTGTTACATATTAAATTTATTTAATTTTATTGTTAGATACTATTTACTTTAAATATATTGTATATGCTTAAAAAACAAATATATATATATATATATATATATATATATAATATATATATATATATATAGATATAATATAATAGGCTATATAAAATATTTCACAAAACAAAAACATATTTATTAATTAAAAAGTAAAGTTTAAAATTAATCAATATTTAAATAATATTTAGGAAATTATGAATATTTTAAAAATAACGTTTGAAAAAAATAATACAAACAAATATGAAAAATAAAATCGCTATTAAAAGTGGGGAAAATGACTTATCAGAGTAATTAACTTTTCGTTTTGTTCTCATTTAGAAAATTTCTTTTTTTCGCACACATTTAACCATTTAACTTGTTGATTTGTTCATATATTAGCATTGTCACCTGCTATAGTCGGTGACATTGACAATATGTGAACACATATAACAAGTTAAATGATCAAATATGTACAAAAATAAAGATGTTACCTAAATATGAACAAAACGATAAAGATGGTTACCAATATATGAAGTTGGCCATGTAAAATTTTAAAATCACATACCGGTGTAATGGAATCTAAAATTGTAACGAGAGAGTTCTTTTGTAGGACAAAAACCATTTAAAACTTTCCTCTTAAATCAATAAATCTAAACCATTGGTGCCTTTATGATGTTTTGAATTATCACACATATAACTTATATGTATAAACAAACACTACTGTAAAATAGGCTATAGAATACACCCATATATAATACGGTTGTAAATAAAAACCGTATTATAAAGGGATAAATAAATATAATACGCACAATTGCAGCATCTAATACGGTTAATGAGATGTACTAGAAACAAGATCAAATAACTAAATAAAATACGCCCCAATTTGATTAAGTACAGCTAATACCTAAATTGAATACGCTTCCTCCTCACATACTTTAGCTTCCTCCTCCCACACTTGTCTCCTCCCAACCGAACACCTAAACACCACCCTTTCTCCATCTCTACACCACTAATCGGTCCTTCATCTCCATCTCCCCTGTCGCAACACCATCATCACCGGCCAGCCTCGCCTCGCCTCGCACCTCCAATAATTCAACCAACCTGAAAATCCCACCACCAGACCATCATCATCATACAAATTAACCACACCTGCGGTTCAAATTTAAAGGGTAATAGATTTTATTTCTGTTTTTGCAATAGACAAACACAGGTAGCGGTTCAAATTTAAAGGTAAGAGCTTTGATTTCTGTTTTTGCAACAGAAAAACAAGGGCAGAAATACAAAGGAACTACAACTGTTCACGAAGGATAAGGAAGCGTTTTGGCTGTGACCGAGATGCAAAATCAAATGGTAGGATCTCTATTTTGAAAACTTATTGCTTAATTTTAACTAGATGACCTTGGAATCTTAAAATTCAAACAACCTCGTGTTAAATACTACTTGACAGTCCTTAACAGTCCTTGAGTACTAAGTTCATACCAATCAATTTCAATATATCAACTTCTTACTCACAGAGATCACATTCCCTATTTCATCAAGTCTGTCAAAATATCAAATTAAGTTCCATAATACACACATATATAGTGCAAACATAATATGTATACCTGCTTAATAATCTTGAAATTTTGGCTAAAATCTTTCAAGAAATGATAAAATTGGTGGTTAATTGCTGTTTTTTTGTTTACTGTAAGCATTTGAGTTTGCATCAACTGAAAGGATAAAGATTCCCTCTGTACCTCATAAACAATGGTTATTCTTTCATTTCTATCATATACTTCTAATAATGGTATCAATTCCAATGTAATCAACTGTTTAATAGAATCTTTTTGATTTGTATTTAGTTAAATCTTTTATCCGGACCAAATTATCCTTGAAACTGAAGGACAATAACAGTGATAGTTGCAGTTGAAGCAATATAGAAGGAAGTATCAGGTAATTTTGTAATTATGTAGCATTTCTTGCCCCTATTGACATTACAACATCTGGACAATCTGAAAATATGAACTTATACCAACAAGGGCAATATGCGGGTGCATATTATTTATTTTTTCAAAATAATATAATTTTATTTGATTGGTTCATAGGCTAGTGACAAGTTTAAGATCAACTCTCAACTTGAGCATCTTCAAGCTAAGTATGTGGGAACAGGGCATGCAGACATGAACAGATTGTGAGTGACATTTTTATCTATGTCATTTTTTAATATTAGTATTAGTGATTTACTGATTTTCACCTCAAATTGATTTTTTCTCACTTATTGAGATAAAGTGTTTTAACTTTTAATATTTTGCAATAGCAGAAAATGAATCAATTGGAAGAGAACGCTACAATTTTATGCATATATTTATTCTTTATATAATCATTATAATCATACATCAACTATCCTTCTATAGAGTGGTTACTTTTTATATATTCTCTTTGTTCCTTTTTGATAAGCTAAATGCAAAAAAAATTTTGCTAAGTGATAAGAAACAAATCAATGAAAGTACTTTGCTATTGTGAATGTTATAGGAGTTCAAGTAATTCTTTTTTTATTTTTTATTTTGCAGAAAATGTTGTTGCCATGTGGTCTTCCACCAGAGAGAGAAGAGGAATAGGGCAATGAGGTTCTTCATGGGGAGATTTACTATGATTGCATTATGAAAAACTTGTGTAGTATCAACTTGATGCGAGGATAAAAAAACTATGTTGAGTTTTTGATGTTTATGTCACATGTAATATGTTCTATATTATACAAAGTCATGTTTTAGTGATGAACATTAATCTTTGTGTATTTTATGGGGTGGTTATGTTGGTAAGTGTCACGTGGTAAGTGATGAACATTAATCTTTGTGTATTTTTTGTAAATTTAGTCTAATTGTATAATTTTATTAAAAAAATAGATAAAAAAATTGATGAAAAGACCAAAATAGACATCAAAACCCAAGTGTAAAAAACAAAAAAAAATGAAAATTTGAAGATGTATTAGTTTGACAATTTGGATGTTTTGTGTTTTAATGTTTCAAGTTGTATTATGTATTTCCAATATAAAAAACAAAAAAAATTGAAAAAAAAGGTTGAAAATTCTCCAAAAAATTTGTTGATTCAAGTTGAACAATTTTGTACATACATTATGTTTTTGTACATATACACAAACATCAAATTTAAAACCAAAAAAAAATAATAATACATCAAAAGATATGTATATTATTAAACAAGAAACAAAAGCAAAAAAAAAAGTTGAATTTTTTTGTCCTTTTTACATATATATGGACGTGAATCCCATTTTTCTTTTATATGGATGCATATATTGAAGGGGCCATCAGTCTAGCCCATATGAGCAATGTTTTAAAAACCGGTTTTTTAGTTGAACCGGTATGGTGATCGGTTTCTGGTTCAACCGGTTCGACCACCGGGTCAACCGGTTCCTATAATTTTCATCTTTTTTTCTATTTTCCTACACATACATACATATATAAATCATGAATTTGACGTTAGTAGTTCAAATATTAAAAATATACATAAAAATAAATTGTAGATCAATTCAAATACATTAAAATAACATATAACCATAAGTTTTAGTGTTTTATATCAATTCATATACGTCAAAAAGAAAATAAAATATAATACTGAAATAAAATATAGTTTTAGATGAATACAAACACACCAAAAAACTTTATAACATTTACAATATGTTTTTATTTAGAGAAAACTAAATAGATTTGAAAATTTTCACTAAAGTTTATTATGAAAATGGTTCTTTCCCATGTGTTTTTATTCGGTTTAACCGGTTTATTTTGACCGGTTCAACCAGGTTTTTCTAAAAACCGGTCGGTTCAATCCGGTTCAGAAATCGACATAAAACCGGTGATAGTTGAACCGTTCTCTCCTCCGGTTCCCGGTCCAACCGGTTCGACCGGCCGGTTCAAACCGGTTTTTAAAACATTGCATATGAGCACATTTTCAATTCGTCATCGGTCAAAATTTGCAAACTTAACAAAATTGACCCAAAAGTCAAAATTGCAATTACGTTCCCTTTTGTTGTTTGCTTATCACGAGAACGACGAAGCCTTCGCCTTCAGCCGACGACGCCTCCGCCTCAGGCCAACGACGCCTCCGCCTTCGGTCTTCGGTCGACGACATAGACGAAGTCTCCTACTCCGGCCTACATCCGCTTCCGCCTCCTCCTTCTTTCACGTTGTTTACAGGTACGATCGGCCTTCTTTGATTAATGTTCTGTTTATGACAATGTCTTCTTTGTACGGCATATTAATGTTGTGTTTATGCAATGTTGCTAGTTGGCTAGGAGTCGATACTGGTTATACTGTGTAAAAGTATATATGCTACTCAGTTGTTGGTTTATTAGACCATATAATCAGAAAAATTTTATAGTAATGGACAATTTCAACTGGTCTATGATATTATAATCATTTAATTTCTAGTAACCTACTTCTGCTTATGATTATTTGATTATTAAGGTGGATATCAATGAAGAACACCATGGATCTTATTTGTCTCTGATATCACAAAGGTAAAACCTTCTCTTGTGGAATGATCACTCTTTTCAACATTATTTACTAATGGTTACTATTATATTGCAAGAAGTAGCCCATATGTGTTAATTTACTTTTGGAGGAGCTCCATCAGGAACACTCACACAGTTTCTAAAACCAGCTTCTTCCATTGCAAGTTTGTCCATTTCACCCTCCACCTTTTATACAAAAAAATATATAAATATATAATATTTTGATGAATCAAAATTAGAAACACCAAAAAAGATTATGTATTTCAAGATGAAAAAGTGAAAACTTACTATGATGATATCACTTGCTCCTTCTATATCATCAAGTCCATATAATATCTTTTCAGTATCACTTTCCTAAAAGGGTAAAAATGTCAATTTTGACTTTAGTCAACCGATTTTTACCATAAATAGTAAGTTTTGATATATCGATTTTCACCTGCCAGAATTTCTTTGAGATATATCTGTATTTGCAACTAACAAGTTCTTTTTTTTCTTCTATAAGTAAATGCAATAACAATCTGCATACACAATTGGAAAAAAGTTAACAAAGAGTACATGGAGAAGAAGGGTAGTTTTGTAAATTAGTAAATTCTTTCTACCTGTTTTTCATATCTTCTTTGCATGACATGATTTCTCCGTAATGTCTCTTCAGATATCATTCTTTCAGAAAAATATTCAAGTAACTGATTCACAAATACAAGATATAATCATATAATATCAATTGTCTTAATGTGAGTAAATGAGTAAATGACCATTTTACCCTTCTGTAAGTAAAAAAGAAAAGTGAATAGGAGAAAAGATTTCTACATCTTTGCACAAAGGTTCCAAATTCAATTCATCTTCTGTGAGTTCCTTAATTTTTTTCACTTTAGGGAGTGCATTCATCCTTTTGTAACTTGATTTAACATCTGCAAGAGCCTGAAATTAAAGAATAAGAGAAATATTAGGTCAATATAACAGTTAAATGAAGAAAAAAAAGTAGTGAAAAATGAGAATATTTACTCGTGTGCTCCCTTTCCATCCACATTTGGCTCGAAAACAAGTCAAAACAGCTGAATTACTAAAATGTTTTATAAAATTCCATGTCATAATTTTAATAAATAAAGTCGATTTTGAGAATATGAGGCAATTTACATACCAATCATCAGAAATGAAGAGAGAGTTTCTTCTCCCCTGAGTCGGCAGCTTTGCACTATTGAGTAGAAAGATGCATTTAGAATTGTCCGATTGGGAGTGTGGTTACTACGTTATGAACCGGATGCATGAGTTTGTACTTTTTCGACAACATGGATTTCCGAAAGTAAGTATATTGTTAGATATTTTTTTGCATTTTTGTTTATTGTACTAAAGGCTCACCTTTGTTAAATAACAAATTTTTTATCTTAATTTGTTTGTAGAACATTTGGAAGGACAAAAAACCATTTTCTAGTGAGGAATTGGACGAACGTGTTAAAACATGGATGAGAACTTTTGGTGATAAAGTGAAGCCTTTTTCAAGTTAACGGTTAGTTCTTCTATATACATTGTTATAATTGGTTATGTTTTTCAAAAAACCATTTTCTAGTGAGGAATTGGACGAAAGTTTTTTTTATGGAAAATGAGATATATAAAAGTAGGATGCTATATTTTGTGTTTTATTGTGGAAGTTTGCAGATTTCGAGTTATGGAGGTTGCTGTTATGGAGGTACACAAACATCCCTTGTATTTCATGTTGTATTTGCTCATATTTTTTATGTTGTGGAGAAGTTTTCACCCTTGCATTGCTATAGATGAAGTTGTTAATGGCAGGAAGGTCCTATAATTTGAGTTTTCTTCATTAAAAGTTATTTGAGATTTTGAATCCTAAGTTTTCTTGTTTTTGTAGGCATACAATGAATTAGCCACAAAGGGGAAAGAGAGGTCAGAGGTGTGACATTAACAAATTTAAGAATGTTTTTATGTTTAATGAACTAGGTATACAAATGATAGTCTTTTAGATTGTATAGACTGTAGTATGAAAGAATATTAATGTTTTTATGTTTAATGAACTAAATGGTTATTGTAATTTTTTTGTTTTCTGTTTCTTAAAATGAAAACATGATCAGCGATGTCCCACTTCTTATGGTTGGAATGTAATCATATAGTTGGTTTGTATTTTGTAGAGATTGATCATTCGGTTACAATTCACATGGTAAAAGCTTTGCAAAAATTGAAGAGTTTGTTTCAGTTGGAATAGTTGGAATGGTGATCCATGTGTTCCGCATCATCCATGGAGTGGAATTGGCTGATTAATAAGGCTGGAATGCAAAGCCAGAATGGGCTGGAAGGAATGGGGATGTTGGACATCAAGTACGGTTGTGTATTGGTGTATTAGATGTGTTTATATGGCGTATTAGATGATTGTATGCGATGGTATAGGATACATATAGTACGGTTAAATAGCCGTACTCTATTATGCTTGTAATCTAATACACCCCTCTACTACTATATGTACGTACAATATTCATAATTTCAACCGTACTCTATTAACCTTTTTCTAGTAGTGAAAAGACAAAAAGTAAAAAGAAAAAAAAAAGTAAAACGTCGTAGAAACTCCTCAGCCTGATTATTCTTTTTGCACAGAGAAGTGATGTATATTTTTATTGTAATCCCGAATACTAATATCATTAATTCATTATATTAGACCCACTTTACCGAACTAAATTAAATATTGAAACTTTTTCTGTATATTTTGTTGGGTCCATTGTATTCTTTGAGATAAGCATTTGGAAATATTCAAAGTACCAAAAAATGAAAAAATAAAACTAAATTGTTCCCGATGAATGTGTGAACTGATTCACTAGAACAATCGAAAAGTTCGTATTTATCTTGTGATTGAGATACATTGAATAGTTTAACTAAATGAACCGAACTTCGTATGACTCAATTTGAGTACTTGGCAAACCCAATTAAATGAATTTATTTATAATTTGATTGTTTTAATCAACCTCAAACTTTATAAAAAAATGACATAGCAAGTTGATCTTGATCTCAAAAGAAGTGTGACGATCATTCAAAGGATAAGGATATGCTAAAAGGTATGATGATAGAGACCTGGTAGATAATGTGATTTATTTTTGCATTAATTATATTAACATAATATGTTTTGTCATACTCGGTTGCCCTTTTATTCGCATGAAAACACAAATGTAACCTTTTTTTTTTTTTTTTTTTGCTAGTAAACATGTGATGGCCTTTTGGTATTATTGTTATTACCATGAATTTACCAACTTGTAATATTTAGACCGAATAACCTTTGATGTGAAACCTTTTTCTCGGGTGATAGTTAGACTTTGTTTATCGTCGATCTTGACTACGAATTTCGACGTCTCTCAGTGGGTGGGTGGGAAGGGGGGTTATCAACTGTAATGAGAATCGTTTTGTGATCATGAATCACCCGTTCAGGGTTTTGAAAGTGATTGCGAGAAGAATTTCTCTCGTGAGTTATTACCGAATCAGGGTTGGACAGTTGGAGGTTTTCTTTTTGTGAGCAAGATTGAATATGGTTGCAGATTCGCATAAAAGATAAGGAAACAAGCGAGTGGGAGTGAAAATTCAAACGCTATTTTAATGAGTTTTCATGTACAAAAGGATTGATGAATGGAAACTCTTAGTTTATATTTATTTTTATATTTTGTATAGTATAGGATCATTACTCTAAATATTGTATATGTAATCTATATATATGGCTATGGACAACTCTTGTTCTTAGTCTAAGTGGGTTTATATATATATATATATATATATATATATATATATATATATATATATATATATATATATATATATATATATATATATATATATATATACTAGCCGTTTACCCGCGCCAAGCGACGGGTATAATTAATTTTTTTAGAAATTAATTTCTAAAGACGATTAGTTTTTTTGTGTAAATAATTTACTACATCTAAACGTACTAAAAGGTGGTTACCATGATTTTTAATGCATTTGATAAAGGGTGTTTCTCAAAAAAACAATCTCTCTTGTTCCCATGTTTTGCTCCCGATAAAAAAACATCTGAAAATTTGTTATTGATCCTCTAAAAATATTATAAATTATATGTAATTTAGTAACTTTTTTCCAATATGATCTATAGGCAAAATGGTCATTAATGGACTATCCACTTAGACAACATTGAGAACAAAATAATTATGAAACTTCAGAAAAAATAAAAAACAAATTTGCAATGATGTTTTTAAAGATACGCCATATTTTCTTTTTGTCTTTGTTATTTCATAATCCCTACTAACTGATTAAAAATGATGCAAATTTTGTCCATCATTTATTGGAAGTATTAGTTCGTAATTGAATATTCTAAGTATTATATTATCACATTTTATATTTGGACATGATTTTACATTGCGGTTGACTCATAACCAATTTATCCACTAACATTTCTAAACTCCAAAGTGTGCGATCATCCAACTAAATAAATCACTTTAATTTCCATTAGTTAGCAGTTGAGGTTCATAACCATTACCAAATCAAGAGCCAAATTATTTGGCTGCTTTCTTTTGGTTTTATTTTCTATTTTTTCATCATTGAGGTAGGATGTATACCAAAGATTTGAACTGCATAATATAAGCACACACTCCAGATGCATAATCGTATAGTAAAAAAGTTTATTTCATTGAGTAAAATGGTAACTAAAAAAAATTAAAAATAAAAATAAAAATAAATAAAAAACATAAAACTACAACTTTTTGAATAACTTATATTTGTTTTTGGATTGGATTTTTTCCCCCTTCTTACTTGAAGCCAAGTCGTTGGTTTGGAAACCTCTTTACGTTCTCTTCATCATGAAGGTAAGATTACAATTCATGTTAGGATGGAATAGGGTGAATGGCTACCAAAGCAGGAAAAAAAAAATCAAAAACATACCACTGAAAAGCTCCAATTACGTCTCATTGGTGTTGCTCTATTAGAGCATCTTTCAGCAGCAAAATGGAGAATAAGATCTTACTTTCAATTTTGGTACCATGACCAGACCATGATTTCAACCAGGATCACCCTAATGTGTACAACATACAATATAAACAGTCAATTGCAGATGAACAAATGAAATCTAAGCGCAAATTAAAACATGGGGCTGACGATGTTATCGTACCTTCATAACCCGATGTGAATTCCTTGAGTAACACGACATGTAAATAAACCAAGAGAAATGGAATTTACTTAGAAGAGAGTCATAGGGAATTAGTGGTGAATTTCCTTTGATCTCATGTGCGACTATATTCTTGCTTATCGTTAAGTACATCACAAAGCCAATAGTTTAGCGATGAAATGCATTTGATAAACAATTAAATGTGGTCACTGAAATAATTATGATACAAAAAATGCAGTGAAAGTGCAAAATCCTTACAAAGTCAAACCTGAACTTTCTTACATGAACCACCTGTCAAACATGAATATTCATATCACAATTACACCAGATCAATGAAAATAAACAAAGATGCATTGAGCACATTACCTATAGTAAAGGTCTTTCTGTTAATGTTCATTTACACTTGATCAAACATTATTTGAGTCATTTTGTCAAGCACCTGGGGTGCATTTTCTGTAACCTGCCAAAAAAATTACAAACCCAAGGTTCTTAAACCCATTAAAAGAGTAAAGATGCATAAATGAATCCATGGACTAACCACTTCAATTTTACAGCCCTTCTCAACGAAAGTTGGTTTAACCCCTCAACAGAAGTTGATTTAACACCAATTAACTGCATACATCATCCAAAATTCAAACAAACTTTAGAAAAATATAGAATCAAATCTATTAAAGAGTGAAAGTAAACTTACATGTGCAAAAAGCTACATAAACCTCACGTTTTAATTTCTGAATTGAAACGTGAAATATGGTGATTACCAATATTTCCAGTCAGTAACAGAGGAGCTGGGATTCCAAATCCAAAAAGAATTGAATCATACGTTTGGGAAATTTTCAAAATTTGAAATCCAAAATTGAAATTGAAAGGATGAATGAGAAAATATGCTATCCCTGTGCAAGGCCATCTGGCCATTACCATGATATCCTTCTTTCCTGGCCCGTTTCTGAGTGCATATGGCTTAAAG